GCTTGACAAATGGATGTGGGTGTCAAAGAGCTTTGATAACTCGCAGGCAATGGCTGCTCTAAACAAATGGCGCCATCAATTTCGAGGTGTGGCCTGTCCGGAGTTGGCGTGGCCCTTCAGTCGGAAAAGCGGGGAAATGCGGGGAAAGCCGGGGAAATGTACAAGCTAATTTTCATGCTCGGCACGCGCACAAATACCAGGAGGTGGTTGATTCACTTGGTTGGCTGACTGGCTGACTGGCATATTAGAGTAATTAAATGCCAAACGCAAACTTAATTGGAACGACTGTCTGAGTGCGAGAGAGCCGGCAGTAAAATAAAAAAAAGTCCCCATAAAACTTAACTTGAACGGCGACCATTTTGCGGGCATTACTTAACATCGCATCGCAGTGCGTGCCTATTTATTTAACAAATTAGCATAATTGTTCACAAAATAAAATTCAACTTAAGTACAAATGATGGCCAGCGTTGTTAATTAACATGTGGGTGCAGGCAGGACATCCGAAATGGGGGCGGAGTTTATCCCGCAGCGCAAATTAGTTGTATACGCCAATGCTAATTGCGAAATAGCATGTCCTTTGGCAATGAAAAAAGCTCCCGTTACGGGGGAAAATATATGAAAATTGTTTTGACTTTAGATAAGCGACAAAGTCGACCCGACTGATGGGCTGGGCCCCGAGAATATGCCGTGATAGAGGGAGCCGGCGAAACGACAATCAAATTTATGACCTGCAGTTGAAGATGGGACTTAAGCGCCACTTGACGAGTTTAATTACCGGGCTGCAGCATTGCGAAGGCTGTATTTAACCATAGTTACGAAGGGGGCCAGCTGTTCGAGTGGCCTGCGAGATCGCATCTTCCCAACCCCTTTCGCCTTTGTATGTATCTAAGCATCTGACTCCGGCTGTGCGGCTTTGTGTGTGTCCATCTGAGATAAGCTTTGTCACCAGTTTGCTGACAACACGCAATGACAACTTTGCCGGGCTACCTATGAAGTTGTTCTGCCCCTGTTTTGTCCGATTTTCAGCAGCAGATACAGCCAGTCGTGTGTATATATGTTCAAAGGCAATTTCGAGCGGCACACACAATGACAAGTGCCATCGTCCTCGTCATTATTGTCAGAGTCATTGTCCACGGATCGCCTTGGCCCCTTGGTTTCGTCCTTTTCCTTTGTTTAAAGTGTCGGCTGGCCCACCATTGTCCTTGTTGTTGGCATTGAAAAGTCGCTATTGCGACGCTTATCGCGCAAACAATTTAACAAATGGCCAAAATTATTGGCTAATATTATTGAGTTCGATAAGAATAGCAAGCGAAATTGTCAAACATTATTGGCCCTAATCGAACCCACCATGTAGTTTTACTAAATGGAATTGAGATATTAAGAGATGACAACGAATAGGAGATAAATAGTCCGAAGAGAGAGAAGATATGCAGTAGTCCGATAAAGTATGCTATAATATCACTGCAATATTATGCTTTTTAAAAAATAAAAACAAAATTGGCAATTTTGAAAAGGTGTCGATAAGACATATGTATTTATATTGTACAATAAGACTAAGACTAATATTTTAATGGTACATATTCATTGGTACAGCATCAGCATATCTTAGTACCTGAATGTTAGCTGTAAATATTTATAAGCTATTCATTGGTACTTTTTAAAATTTGGAAAATGTATCTATTTTAGGGTTACCTAAAGTTATTAATTAATATTTAACTTATTTGGAAGTATATATAAATTATCTTAAAATATAACATTTAATTTAATATTTCCCTATGTCCTTCACTTATTTCGATTATCATTGCCTCGAACCCGGTAGTAAACCTCGGTGAGCTTTTCAAGCTTTTCCTGTTATTGCGTATACGCAATGGGGTTGTTGGCAAACCAACCACCCGCAGACACACCACCCCCTTGCATACATGTTTCCTTGGGCGAGTGTGTATGTGTGCGTTCGTCGCACGCACACTGATTCCATTACCCGCACACATGGACAGCTGTGCGTTTGGTACGCCGAGTTATGCTGATATGTTGCTCCGCATCCGCCGGATTATGCTCGCCTGGTATGAAATCTACCACGAAAGAATGTGTACGAATATGTGACGGACGAATACACGTGTCGCCGGAATACACATGCCGAAAGTGGCCGTGTGTGCGAGATGCTGCCACGCACACAAGGACGAGGCCAAAGACACAGGACGCAGGCTCTCTTTCTCTTTGGAAGGGTGTGTGCGAGTCGCGACCTTGAGCACGAGTAGCGCAATTAATGATGCCGCAAGAGCAACCCCTAAATCAACACCATCCAATACAACTCGGTTCAAAATTATAAAAACAAAAAGTCTTTAGAAACATTAAATCTTGCATCTTTTTTTTTTGAAACTTAATTACTTTGTTGTATTATATTTTATAATATATTTTATATTAATACGGGATTCGAAGGTAAGCCTTCGATTTCCGTCACCAAGGTGATAAAATTGCAATATATTTTTTAATATTCCTCAAATTTCAGGCGGGTAAAGGATAATACAACAGATTCCCTTGGTCCAGAATTTAGAATTTGGGTGTTTTTCAGAACAAATGGTTTTTGTAGCATACTTTTTTAAACCACATTTTCAAGAACTTTTCACCCGAGGGATAAGAAGAAACTTTCGAGTTGCGCAAAGTAAAATCGTTAGATTACTTTGCAATGCCCCCTGGTACATGAGAACTAGAGACATCGAAAGAGATCTTAAAATTCCTAAGATAGGCGATGTATGTAGGACACACGCGGAAAATTACATCAGACGACTTGGCTCTCACCCTAACTCCCTGGCCAGAAGACTTACTAGTAGACCAACAAAAAGAAGACTGAAAAGATTCCACCCACACGATCTTCCATCGAGATATATATAAATATAAATTAATATTATTATTTCCAAGCTAAAAATTATATACTCTTGAACAAGAAATTTGAATTATTGTATATTATATTATACTTATGCTATCAATATTATATTTACCACCTGGTCAAGCTGCCACATAGGTAGCAGAAAACTTGTTAAACTTTAAATAAAAATATACTTTTACAAAAAAAAAAAAAAAAAAAGAAGAAACTGAACTCGCGTTCATAATTCAAGGGATATAAAAATGTATCTGTGAATATTTTTTTTTGCCCGCAACTGTAGCTACAAAACACCCGGGGTTGGCGCGTCAATGTAAAGACGTAGTAATGGACGCTCCGGCTGGTGATTCTGTTCGCCTGGCTCACTAAGGTTGCTCCTAGTTACGACGTAACTGTTAACCGGTTTGGGCCATCGCCGGCACTGCTCCCGCATGTTAGCGTTATGTAATGGCCTCGACAGTGGGTAACGTGAAAAACCCGGCCCAGTCGGTGGGCGGGCAGCTATACTCCGCCCCGTAGATCACGCCCTAGTGGACGACATGCGCACTGTCTCTGATTCGATGGGCCACCTACCCGGATTTCTGGTCGCCTGGTAATCCTTGGGCGTTACCTTAAGAAGGGTTAAACCGCTGATGGACACGTGTCTGTCTATTTGAATGTGTTGCCGCTGCTGCTGCTGCAGAGGTTCTTGGTCAGGTTCTTGGCAAAAATCAGAAAGAACCAGTACGGCGGTGCGACGCTCGTTTTGGGCGCCACCCAATGCCCGCACTCGCTAATTGAAACGCTCCGCAGGACGTGGAGGTTGCCTGTGCCTGCGACCCACCCACTTGGGCGGGCATAATCGCGGCACGCCATCCACAGGGGCGTAGTCCCTGCGACCGTGTCCGCGCTGCAGTGGTGGTCAGTGCTGGGAGAATTTTAGCTGTAAATATTTGTAAGTATTTTGGGTTTATTTTAAATATTATAAACAAAATGTAACCCCAAATATTCCGGGAATAATAATATTTTTAAAGCATTTTTTGAAACTAAAAAACATAAGCAGACCTTCTTTTTGGTGGTTTTACTTATTATACATTGTTTACATATTTTGTATTAGCGATTCAACGGCCAGAACAGCAACACTAAGGGTTGAAGTGCCGAGGACACGCTCCTGCCATCGAAACCCACCCCTAAAGAAAAGTGTGGCAATGTCAAGCGACACTCCCCTCGCACACAAACATACAGGCAGACATCCGAGTCCTTTCGCTTTTAATGTATTCTCTGGGTAAGTCCTCTGAATCACACATTCCATTCTCTTATTCTCATTGCTGTGCGCCTGGCAGCAGACTTCAAGCGGAATTTCCTTTCGTTTGACTGTAAATTTTATTTTATGAGTGTTCAACATTTTTGTTATTACTTTGAAATCATTTAAAACCGACAGTTGAATAGTGAAAACAAATCCAATTTTCAAATATAAAAATAGGAAATTAAAATAATCTTTATATTTGCTTACATTTAATAACCCTACGTAGATTTAAATAACGCTGATTTAACAAGGGCATGTATTATTTGATTTTCTAAGACAGATAAGAAAAATGTGAAATTGCTAAATCCTTTAAAATCCTTCCTTTGGTCTTGCATAGGAAAGCGTGTTCTACAATTTGATAAATAAATTGCCATTATAAATAACAAAAGAGGGACATATATTTTGAAAGAAGACCACCAAACAAGAACCAAATTTAAACTTCATAGGTCTTTTCTACGTTAAGTTTGGTAAAAATAATTATATTTTTTAAAAAAGAAATATTTTATTTAAATGTCCAAGCGATATTAATACTAAAATATAAATATTAAACATCTCTAAGGCAAACATAATAGAGATTAGCTCTTAAAGACCTTCACCTCAAGGCATAATTCACGGTAGCTTTCACTACCTTTTACCACCTAATAAAGGTTCTTAGTTAGTTGACACTTAAATTATAAATTGTATTTTATAGGGACAATTACAAGTTTTAATAATAGCACTTGTAATATCACTTGATAGTTTAAAAAAGTTAACGGTTCACGTAAAACCACTAAATTCACTAGCGCCAGAAAACATCGATAAAAACTAAAAAAATCGATTGTGGCTCATCACCATTGATTGTGTCCACCTCTTGAAATTTAATTTAAGCAATTGACAATTGTTTTTTTGGCGTGTGAACAATGGAGCGATCCGGAGTGTTTGAGCAGCTGGCCTGAGTGCCGGCTGCCCCAATCCCCCGGAAACCGACTCCGTCAGAGGTCCAGAACGCCAACCGCCGCCAAACGAATCGCACGCACATCTGGCAGTCGACTGTAAACAAACCCGAGATATGATAATAGTCTGATACTGATTCGGTGTGCGTATTATGCAAAAACTAGTTTGAGAGCACGAACACCGCGCCGGTTGTTGAACTCTTGACACTTGACTGGTTGGCTGGCCGGCCAAATTGGAGAATCGCCCGCGGGTTCAATAAGAATCGGCGAATTGGTCGAGTCAGCACCTCTGGGAATTCAATCCGCCAAAGTGATCGAAACGAGCCACATGTATGCCTACAAAATGGGTAGAGTTCCAGAGCTGGTTATATGGTAAGTAAATATATAATGCAACTGATTTAACTAAACTAATCCCGTCCTCAATCTCGGAAACAGCTCCCTCATCGTGGTCAGTCTACTGGTCATTCACTTCTTCTCGGATTTGCTGCGAGCCTTTCTTGGAGGCTACTACAACAAGGATGTGACCCTTTCCCAGCTGGTGGAGGCCCAGAGCTCGGATTACGCCTGGCTGCTGAAGCTACTAGTCAATTGCTTTGGCTACAGCTGCGTCTTTGTGCCGGGTTATTTGATTTACAAATATGTCGGAAGGATCAATTACCTAGAGAGGGGCAACCAGACCCTCCTGCACAGAGCCATCAACATGTGCATCACGGGAAACTCTGGATACGATCAACTGGATGCGGGAGGTAGCTCTACGGATAAAGATCGTCCAGCTGCTTCTGCGGCCCCCAAACGAACAAGTTCTCAGGAGGCAGTGCAGCTTTTTTGGTGCTTTGGCGGACTGATGGTCTCCTATCTCACCTGGGGCGTGCTGCAGGAGAAGATAATGACGCAGCACTATCTTAATTTCGCGGGAGAGAGTTCGAAGTTCAAGGACTCTCAGTTCCTGGTGTTTTCAAACAGATTGCTGGCCTTTTTGGTGGCTTTGGCTTACCTGCAATGGCAACCCTCACCTGTGCGACATCGGGCTCCACTGTACAAGTACTCCTATGCCTCCTTCTCGAACATAATGAGCGCCTGGTTTCAGTATGAGGCCCTAAAGTTCGTCAACTTCCCCACTCAGGTGCTGGCTAAGTCCTGCAAAATCATACCCGTGATGCTGATGGGAAAACTGATGTCTAAGGCTAAATACGAGAGCTACGAGTACGTCACGGCCATCCTCATTTCTCTGGGCATGATCTTCTTCATGAGCGGGTCCTCGGACAGCAGCAAAGCCAGCGGTGTCACCACGCTTACGGGTATCTTCCTCCTCTCCATGTACATGGTCTTCGACAGCTTCACTGCCAACTGGCAGGGATCGCTATTCAAGAGCTACGGCATGACTTCGCTGCAGATGATGTGCGGCGTGAATCTGTTCTCCTCAATCTTTACTGGAGCCTCGCTCTCCATGCAAGGCGGATTCATGGACTCGTTGGCATTTGCTACAGAGGTGGGTGTACATAAAATATATACAATATTGCTAACTTATCTTCAGTAATGTGAGGCTAACCCAAAAACCACGCTTGTCAAACATTTTTTTTTAATTAAAAGTCCTATCTCACCTTCTATATATTTATTTCTAGCATCCAAAGTTCGTGTTTGATATGGTTGTGCTTTCTATTTGCTCAGCCGTCGGCCAATTGTTTATCTATCACACAATTGATGTCTTCGGCCCAGTTGTGTTTACGATAATAATGACGCTGCGCCAGGTGAGTCCAATCTGTTTGGAAGTGGAATGGGGTTTGATTACTCAACTGTCTGCTTACACTAAATTTTATTCTATTTGTTGCAGGCCGTGGCCATCATGCTCTCTTGCTTCATCTACCACCACCATAGCATTTCGGTGTTGGGCATCTTCGGTGTTCTCATCGTTTTCGTGGCCATCTTTCTGAGGGTCTACTGCACCCAGAGGATGAGAGCCATGCGCAAAAGGGCAGAGGCTAACAAGCCCAAAATGGCTGTCTAACCAGAGACATGAGCTCGTCTCGAATAGAACGCACAGACTTCCTAGCTCATCTAATTATTGTACTAATAGAAGCTCATGGTAGATCCCACTTCCAAAGCCCAAACAGAGGCTGATTGGTCTCCCCAAAAAGTGTACAGTTTTGTTTTTCTAGTTCTAAGTTGAATGTATACTTATAACCGTAAGCGTAGACGCCTAACAAACAATTTGTGTGCTTAAATAAACCTTTTTATATGTATGTATGTATACTGCAGAAGAAATAGCAATTTTTCTTCGATTTATTTCAATAAGCCTTAAACTCGATACATAAATGGTATTTACTAGACTGATTTGATAATGGTTTATTATTATCAAATATTTCTAGGAATTCACGTTTGATTTTCTTCAAGCTGAATTTTTGTTGCTATAAACAGCTTAACTATATTTGGCATAATTTTGAAATAATAATGTCTTTATATTCCACTTAATCAAATTGGTTTATTGATTCACAGCTTGTTGAGGTGATTCATAGCCTAATTTGAAATAAATATTGGTTTGGTTTTATTTTTTGAAAAGTTTAATAAAATATTGCAATTCAAAACAAACTATTAATAACTGTAATCCTACATTTTATTAGCTAACAAAAAGTATTTAATAGCATTAATTTTTCTGAAAAACAAACTGCCTCAAGTTGTAAGAAAAAATTGATTAATGTGAAAAGCATCCGTGCATCCCCTGACAACTAATTAGCTTGGCTCCCATATTAGCGGCATTCGGTGCAGTCGGTAAACTCGACATTGACCCACTTTCGGGTTACATTTTTGGCAGAAATGAGTTTTTGGCCAAAACAGCAATGGGTGAGAGCTACCATCAGTGGTTCAGGTCAATGCACATGAGTCGCCGAGTGTAACATGTTTTTTCTTCGCTATTGTTGTGCCATGTGGGCGATTATACTGATGATGATGAGGTTGACGATGCCGGTGGCTTGGGTGGGCGGCCTGAATTACCATATCAAAACAATGCCCTGGAAAAATTCGAGCCAATAAAAAAGGGCATTATGCAATCGCCGGTGTCTGGCTGCCTTCTAAGGGAATAGCAACCAATTTGCCAAATGCGAGTTGGTTTTTTTCGCACACGGGCAAGGTGATAAGTTGGGGCGTACTCCGCATTAGAGGAATAGTTTGTGCCCATCCCGCCGAGCGTGCAGAAGTCTTTCAGCAATCGAATCGCGTTTCCAACATGCAACTGTTCCTTCTACTCCTCCTGGGAGCCTTGGGCTATTCGTTGGCCTATCCGCGCAGCTATAGTTACGAGTATCCCCGGCGAAGGTCCTACTCTCCCTCGTACTCCGGTAATTCCTACAGCTCCCTAGGCAGTCGGAAAGCCAGGGAGGAAACAACCACTAACAAATCGGACAAGGAAAATGCCAAGTTTGCCGGAGCATCCAATCAGGAGCTGGATGAATCCGGTGATGAACGCACACTGCTGCTCAAAAAGAAATTGAAGAGATTGGCGCGACCATACCTGGGAGGATATGGTGGATACGGAGGATACGGTGGATACGGTGGATATGGCGGATACGGTGGTGGTCCCTGTGGCCCATTTGGCCGTGATGCCAAGGGTGGTCAGAAGGATCCCGATGAGCAGGGACGTTTCCTGTTCGACGTGAATGTGGTGAAAGTTTATCCTGGCGGATGTCGCGGCTATGGAGGAGGTGGACTCGGTGGCCTAGGCGGAGGTCTCCTGTCAGATCCCCTTCCCCCAGTTCAGCCCATTCCAGTGCCTGTGCGTCCGTACGCTCCATTTGCCACCTGGCTGTCGCTCTTTGCTCCGGGAATTCTTAACTCTGCAACAGTGCCTGGTGTTCCCATCAGAGATCCCCTGAGGGATCCAATTCGTCCTGCTGGTGATCCGCAGAGCGATCCTGAAGTGGATCCCGCCTATGCGGCACCTCCTCCAGTGCGTCGACCTGTTCCCAATCGTGTCTACTACGATTCTGCGGGAGCGGTAAGTTAGAAAAGGATATTGGAAAAACCCATAAACCTATTACTATTTTTCTATAAATACTTATATTTATCTTTCCATTTGACTTCAGCCTCCTGTGACACCTGCTCAATTAGTGGGAGGCGTGGCCACCACCGTGAACGGAATCATTCAGCAATTGACGGGTCAGGTGCAACCAGTTTACCAAACGGGAGCCTATCGGTCGAGGGATCAGCGAAGCAGCTACGGATAGTCACCTCTAAACGAATTTTCATATAGCGATATATTTTTAATGTAAATAGACTTAAGAAATATAATAAGAACGATTTTATATACGGAATGCTTTTTTAATTTACCTAACGGCGTTTACTTCGGAAAAAATGGGGAAATGATTATTTTAAAAAAAAAAAATTATACATTAATGGAAAGTATTTATCGAAAAACGGTCAACATTTCGGATCGAAAAAAATAGGGATCAAAAGCGTTTTTTAACAGAAAGTTTTGAAATTAAGTTGCTCTTTTTAGAAATATTTATTTTTTTCTTTATTTTTTTTTTGATGTTATTGCTCTGTTTTCTTAACCTGCCACAGACAAAGCCTGAAAAATGACTTGTTATTGCACCAGTTTGCTTCTCCATTCGTATTCAAATTACCTCCCAACAAGATTGAAGCAAGGAATTCCCCAAAACATTTCCAGGCGATGGATTAGTCAGGCCAGCGCATAAATCTCGGATCTATGGCCATTAAATTTATGCACGTCGCGTCTGCTTCATAAAAATCAGTAAGAGCAGAGCCACAAAGGCAGCGCCAAGGACAATATTCCCCACAGAGAAACCGGATTTCAATTATCTTAAAGTGAGCTTATTATTTCTGGTTTATGTTGTTTTGTGTATTTTACAATCTACAAAGTGCGAATCACAATTACTTTACAGGCCAGGTGGTAAGGTTTAGGAGCTTTCATTTGCCGAAGAAACCGCCACCGCCTCCGTAGCCTCCGCCTCCGTTGTAATATCCATTCGAGTACTGCGACTGGCTGTACTGGCCGCCGTAGGATCCACCCTGGTTGTAGTAGGATCCGCCGCCGGGATAGAATCCTCCATGATGGTGGGGCCTGTGTCCGAAGCCGGAGTAGCCTCCTCCTGGATAGTAACCGCCTCCGTAGCCACCGCCTCCGAAGCCACCTCCGTAGCCGGGAGTAACCGCCATATCCGCCGGGGTAGCCGCTGGCATAGCCACCAGGATAGCCGCCGCCTCCTCCGAATCCGCTATAGAGGCCACCGCCCACTCCGATCCCGGCACTCAGGCCCACACTGCTGCCGAATCCGCCACCCAGAAGTCCCAAGGTACGACCTTCGGCCTTGACGGGCGCCGGTGCCGCCTGACCTTGACCGGCGATCAGCAAAAGAGCCAGCATCTGTAAGGTGACCAAGCCAATTAAGTGCATCCGAATCAGATCGGAAATAGCAGGCACACTTACACAACTCACACGAACCACAGCCATTGCGATATCGAGCGCTTCTTGGTCGAAACTAAATTGCAATTGTTGAGGGCCTGCCGCTTTTATACCTCCGTTTCAATCTGGCCAAGAAGCCTCAAGTACGCGCCACGCATTGCCAAGTGATTATACGCAAATTGCAGAACAAACACGGCGAAAGCGAAACCAGTTTGTGACGAAATCACGGAATCCCCCATCAACTCGAGCAAGAGACAATTTAGCTGGCGATGCTTCAGTGGGCCCCAGAACGCGTTAATTTCTGAAGCCACAGCCCCAAAACTAAATTATCATTTTTTTGAGGGTTACCTTTAGTTGCCGGCCGATCAAGATCGTGGAAAACCCAATAAAAATAATCACTGAAGCGATCGCAAACTACAATCACCCGGCGATTTTCAAGACCAACCAGAAAAGGCGGAACAAAGACGATTAAAGAGTACTCTAATTTCCAAATGACATTGCAACTTTAAAATATTTAACAAATTGTTTCGAAATATTATAGGGGTGACCTGTTTCGGAATTTCAAATATATTTTTAAATAAATAAATCGTTTTTTTTTATCATGAAAATATTTTAAATCAGAATCATTTAGGTTTTAAGTATCCCAGCATAATTTATTTACTTTAATTTATAAAGTAGCTATTAAAATATTAATAACAACATCGTTAGGTCGAAAATATTCAATACTAAGATTAAAACATACTACATTTTCACCTTACGATTGTACGAAACGCAAAATTAAGTTTAAAGGGCTTATATTAGTGAGAGTATTTAACATCAACTCAATTCACTAACAACATGCAAAACAAATGACTTAGACAACAAACTCAAACGAAGAACGTGCAGCGAAGCAGGTCGGGATGAGCGATATGGCCCGCCCGCATTTGTTTGGCTCATTAGCACTTGTTACTGATGCTATTCCGGCAGATCTACTTATATGACTAACTATGTTTTTGATAATTGTATGTGTCTAACTCCTTTTGTTTATTCTGGTCAATTGTTACGCCTTCACTTTCGTTTTCAGTTTATTCACCTCGAGTTGACGTCAGCGGATTTACCAAAGTTAGACCAACCCACATCTTGGCTAGTCAGGAAATTGTAGTTAGATTCGTTGACAGCGTGGATAAAAAGAATAAATTTGCGTCTTTGATAGATGAGTACAAGGGAATCCATCGAGTTTAAATGGGTTTGTTTTTCAGCCTTGCTTGAATTTAAATGAAATTATTGGAATAATAGAAAGAGTCTTATTTTGGTTTTTAAGTTTAAGAAAAATATTTAACCTGAAACTGCTATATAAATTGAGGATGGATGTTTAAAACAATGTTATTTGCTTTATTTTAAAGATTTGTATTGGGTTTAGGCTTGATGATGTCTTCTAAAAGTGTAAGTTAAGGTTACTGACCCACTATCAGTCTTTTTAATATTAATTTTTCCATAGTCCAAACTCCAAGTGACTCTGTACTAATGATTATAGTCTCGCATTTGTTCTATAATTATGCTAAATCTCATTATTGTAATTACTGCGAACTTTACTTCCGTTTTTAGGCGACTATAAGAATGGCAAACTTTAATCTTTTGCCATTGAGTTGTTCGCCAGCCATGAAGGTGGGAGTACATTAAAGTTTTAACTTCTTAAACTAAATCGCTAATTTTGATTGTTTCAAAATGATTCAGTATTTCGCATTGTCTTTCCTGTTGTGCTGCCTGATTGCCGGAGCTGTGAGTGCCCCCCAGTTCCCAGGATCAGGATTTGGCTATGGATTTTCACCCTATGGAGGATACGGAGGATATGGAGGAAGTTATGCCTCAGCTAGTGCGGCAGCGAGCAGTAGTTCCGGAGGATACCAAGGATTTAGATATCCAGGATACGGTGGCTATGGAGGATTCGGCGGAGGATATGGCGGAGGCTACAATCAGCAGTACAATCAGTTCAGCAACTACAATAACTACGGATCTTCTGGATATGGCGGCTATGGCTATCCATTCGGCAGATGAGTTGGGAAAAACCGACTCGTAACTACTAGAAATTTCTGCCCCTGTTTTGTTTGATTTCTTTATTTGGCTTTTAATGTGATGGAGGTCAATAAAACGTAAATACCCAAAATGATTCAACTTAGTGTGCATAATTTTTTTCTATTTACCTGTTTGCTATCAGACTTGAATTAACATGCTGAGCGTACATTCTGATGCGGTATTCTCTTTTAATTTTACTTCAAATATCGTTATGTTTCTAAACTAAAAATATATATGGCACGTTTTCCATTGACATTCATAGTCTTCAGCTCATTCATTTTTACATTTCTTTTCTCATACCCACTTTTTCACTTTTTGCTCTCAAAAAACCTGAAATTTTCAGGGGCAAATCATGTGCATAAGGCAAATATAAACCACAGCCTGAAGTTCACATCGGCGGCGGCAGCAACAACAAAAGCGGAGACAAACAAGACCTCTTCAACGGCTGATTGCATAAGGGCGATTCGAATCGCTCACAAAACGCGTCAGTGAGATAAAAACGCGTCCACTGCCGTGCAGACGGTTCAATTGATCACGCGTCTTTAACCAGCTTCGTCATCGGCCCACACAGTTGAACTTGAAGTTTTTACGACAAGTTATAATAATTTTAAAAATATAAAATAAACCTGTGTCTATTTTCAAAACATATTTAATCAATTAAAGTCCGCACACAAAGTAAAGATGCAATTCATTGTAAGTGATAGTTTGAAATTGATTTTAATTAAACAAGAAACAGTCATATATTTCTATATGGTGTGTTAAACAAGTGAATTCAAATAATTTAAAAACATCTAAAGACTTACCTGAATAAAATAATTCGTGATTGGATTTCATTGGCAAACATTTTATTTCTGCATTTCAAATTTAAAATCTTATATTTTCGTTTCGACATTCGTTTTTATTGTTTTAATTAAATCGTGCTACACGTTTTTATACCCTTGCAGAGGGTATTATAATTTTGGTCAAAAGTGTGCAACGCAGTGAAGGAGACATCTCCGACCCTATAAAGTATATATATTCTTGATCAGGATCCCTCCTGAGTTGTATGCATGTCCGTCTGTCCGTGTCGTCTGTCTGTCCGTCTGTCTGTCCGTCTGTCCGTCTGTCTGTTTCTCGCAACTAGTCTCTCTTTTAAGCTATCGGTTAACTTTGCCCCTTCTTTCCTTTGCGCAGTTATATGTCGGAACGGCCGGGATCGGCCGCTATTTTGCCGCCATTAACTGATTGATCGTCTTTGGTGTTTGTTAGTTAGTTGGGTTTTTGAGTATTAGAATGCATCTTGATATTTTGGAATATAATTTACAGAGTTTAAGTCAACTTCGGCTCCAGTTAGCTTCCTTTCTTTTCAATTTTTTGTTCCAAACTTTTTTAAATAAATGTTTTTTATCTTTTTTTTAACTTTTTTGAAAATACCATGTTTAAAACTTAACTTATCGAATCAGTCTCTTAGTCAAATAATTATATTTTAATAAACCCTTAAATTAAAATTTCAGTGTTCAAAAATGCTCCTGTTCCTGGGAGTCTGCATCCTGTTTCTCCTTCCGGATGCTTCAGCCGGAAAAATTAAACTACTGGCTTTTAAGGGACCACACGCCGGATTTGTGGCTCTCAAGGCTCGTACTCCAAAGTTGCTGGGCTTAAAGAGTGGATTAGTGGGTGGTGCTGCTGGATTTGGACTCGGAGCGGCTGTGGGAGCCAAGTTAGGCGCTGGATTAGCGAGCCATGGAGGAGGCGGTGGTTTCGGTGGTGGTTACGGCGGAGGACACGGCGGAGGATACGGCGGAGGCTTCGGAGGTGGCTATGGAGGTGGCTACGGAGGAAGCAGCGGCTACGAGCACCACGAATATCATCACGAAAGCCATTACAGCGGAGGATCCGGATACGGGGGCGGAGATGTCGGAGGCGGCCTTTGGGGAAAATAAGTCTTATTTAGTGCAATAAGTGAAAAATCATGTGCTTGCCATTAGAATCAAACATTATTGTTATTTAGTTATAATTCATTTCACCATTTATTTAGGTAATAAAAATGTAGATATGAATCCATTTAAATTTTTTCAACTATTTACATGCACCTTACATTTTGTTCGACACCTAGCGATGGTTAGTGGAGATTGACAACTTGGTGTAAAACGAAGTATAGATGGCGGCACTTATCACTGGCCTATGGAGGTCTTTTGAACATTGCACACCAAGAGGTTTCCGTAGTGTAGTGGTTATCACGTGTGCTTCACACGCACAAGGTCCCCGGTTCGAACCCGGGCGGAAACAAATGGATTTTTTTTGTATTATACATAAATTTTAAATAAACTTAATTTTACTGAGATTTTTAACGCAATTTTATTGCTACAATTAGAATTGTTTAGCTTACATTAATTTAAGATTCGTATTGACAAAGATTCACTTTTATAATTATTCAATGCCCAAGAAATCTTAGAAAATTTGTATTAAAAGTTAACTACTTTGACCGTTCTTGAAGCAAAACTTATAGAATTATTTTATTATTATTTCACCTGTATCACAAGCCAAATATGTTTACCTGAACTTCCATTTTAAGCATTAAAACTCGTGTTTGTTTTTAAATAAACTCGTGTTTATATTGAAATAAGTTTCCCCTTCATTAGCTAATATATCTATAATGTTACATTAAGAAATATGTTTTAATGCATTTCGAATCGAATATATATCGAAAAATATAAAAAAAAAACAAGAAATCATTTTGTTTAGGGTGGGAGAAAAAAATTTAGCCGGGCTCAACCGGGATTTGAACCCGGGACCTCTCGCACCCAAAGCGAGAATCATACCCCTAGACCATTGAGCCGCACGTCGAATTGGCCGCTGTTTGCCAGTTTCGAGCCAGACCAGACAAAATAATTGTGTCACAAATCAAGTTTTAAATAAAATCATACAATCATTTCATGTTAACTATAATAAATATATATTTAAAAAAGATACATCAACAATATTTTCAGCGTCTCTTAAAGATGCCACCTCCAAAGCCTCCGCCGTAGCCTCCGCCAAATGAACTAGCGGAGCTGAATGAGGATGCGGAGGCAAAATTCTGATAGCCACCAAAACCGCCTCCATAGCCCCCTCCAAATCCACCCAGGCCAAGGCCACCAAATCCACCCTTCCAGCCGTGCTTAATGGGAACCACCACGGGCTGGGGCACCGGCACTGGGATCGGTTGAGGAACGGCCACGGGAACTGGGACAGGTTGGGCCACGGGATAGGGGACAAAATTGTTGTAGACGGGTGCATACCCTCCTCCAAACTTTCCACCAAAGCTATGGGAGTGTGAAAGTCCCAAGCAAAGCAGCATGGAAAGACCAAGAATAGTTATCTGAAAAAGGGAAAACATGTCCCTAGGCTTACGTATGAAAGTAACACCACTTACCTCGTTTTGCCTCATGTTGTCTGTTGGATCTAAGCGTTACCAAGTTTAGAACCGCCGTATTTATAGCAACCTCCAGCACTTCCTGTCGAGTTCAAAGAACTGTTAAAAACTTGATTCACAACCAGTTCTCGAACCTATCAATTTTTATTGTGCCAAAATTTAGTCGCAGCAACTATCGCGAAAATATAACAAATCGTGAGAAAAACATTGAAATTGGTTAAGTTGGGCGGGTTGAAGGTTGCCTATCTGCCGAGTTCCGGGGCAGTGTGGGCGTTAGTTTTTAAGAACATTGGTATAAAAACTGAAAGAATCGATGGCTAGGCAAGTCAGTCAAGTTCAAGACGAACTAGAAACATGGTCAAGATTAGCTGTTCGGTGAGTAATATCAGAGTATTAAAATTGTTTAGCTATTTCCAAATGGATTGTTTTCCTTTTTACTAGTTGGTGGTGCTCCTTTCGGTCTGCGCCTGTTCTTATGCTCAATATGAGTATCCACAGCAGCGTCCTTCCCCGGGAACTGGAGCTCAACCAACTGGTGGACCGGTGGACAATAGAATCTTTGGAAATCTCCTCGGTGGAGGTGGAGGCGGTGGACTCCTTAGCGGACTCCTTGGAGGTGGCGGCGGAGGAGGTGGCGGCCCATTAAGCAACTTGCTGGGCGGCTTTTTGGGCGGCAATCGCCCACAACCTCAGCCCTACCCCGTTCCCGTTCCCGCCTATGGTGGAGGATATGGTGGTGGATTCGGTGGTGGCTACCCGATCGGAGGTGGCGGCTACACAGGAGGTCTTCCTGGTGGCTTTCCTGGAGGATTTGGAGGTGGCTACGGCAACCCCTACGGCGCATATTATGGCTAATCCCATCAGTTGTTAATTTTCCCAAGTATTAATTTCAAGTGTTTTCAAGTTTAGATTAGATTTTTAAGTTGTTGAAATATTAAACATTAAATTAAAACCCAAGAAAAACATATCTTAACTTGTCCATGTTGTTTTCATTTTTTCTGACCGCTGGCCACAAGGGGATGTAGCTCAGATGGTAGAGCGCTCGCTTAGCATGTGAGAGGTACGGGGATCGATGCCCCGCATCTCCAAAAACAAATATTTTCCTGAATATTAGTTTTTAATTATTTTTCCTTGATACAACTATTTATTTTCAAACTTATTTTTGTTTTCCCAAACTATTTATGCTTTCACACCACGGCAAAAATTTAAATAAGCAAATGGCTTCCCTGCTTCCAAGCGGCTCAATGGTCTAGGGGTATGATTCTCGCTTTGGGTGCGAGAGGTCCCGGGTTCAAATCCCGGTTGAGCCCGTCTGGTTTTTTTGCCTTTTTGTTTTGGTTCTTTAAAAAATTATTTATTTTTTATTAAAAAAAATAAAAAACTATTTCATTTAAGATGTAAGATAATTTAAGATTAATTAAAAAAATATCCCAACTGGAGATGCGGGGCATCGATCCCCGTACCTCTCACATGCTAAGCGAGCGCTCTACCATCTGAGCTACATCCCCGACGTGTTAGCCTGTGTCAAATGCCCTACTTATGAGTAATCATGGTTAAAATGTCTCTCCTTTGGACGCTTTTAATTCGCTGTTTGCCAACATAACTTCTTTCTTGGCCAACCATCTGGTTTTAACCTTGCAGATAACAAATGAGCAATGAGAGATCTTTCAAACAAACTTGTGCATTTAATTTCCGTTTCCGGCCAGCGAAAGTTGCCCAAAAGAAAGCACAACCACCTGCCAAATGATTCTGGGGTAGCTCCTCGTTGCTTGTCACTGTTGTTTCAGCACAAACACAAATAAAGTCCTGGACAAATGCATATGAAGATGAAGAGAAATGGACTGAGTTGAAGAGTTGAGGAGTCAACGCCTTAACATATGGAAAAGCAGATTCCGGTGGCCAGATCCCTTCACTATCTGCACTTTCACACTTCTGTTTATTCAACTGTCGCTTGTTTGTTTGTTTCTGCCACGCCCTTGGGCATGGGCAAAGCTCTATTATTATTTTCGCAAGTTATATAAAAATAATAACAGGAGCGGACACGGAGCTGACCAAGCCAATGGATAGCCATCCATTATGCTGCCGGGCATTTATTTGCCAAACAATTGAATCTCTCCCCAGCTCCTTGGGCAGCTTCCAACCACTTCATCAGCCATCCTCGTCTGCAGCTATCTTATGGTTTATGATGGAATCAAAACAAATGCCGGAGCATCGTGGCTTCAGCTTCTGCTTGTCCGGAACCTCGAACCCAAACTTCGGCTGGCAAGGATGGTGATGATGAGTTTGTTTATGCAGATTGCTTGTGGAGTTTTTCCTTTGGCGTTAATGGATAAATGGACGTGTGAGTGTGTGCGTGGTAACCCTTTTTGTCGATTTTTCAGGGCAGCAGCGCACTTTCAAAATCTAGTTGGTAATGTAAACAAAATGATTTTAATTGCACAGCTGAATGGGTTTCGTTTAATTTTATTGATACCAAGCTAAAACTTTAAATCTTATTTGTAATTACATAAGTGTAAAACATTTTTGAAAACTATTTAATTATTTGTTATTTATATTTTAAATATTCATTCTTTTTATATGCAATGGTTTCACGGGCTTTGGTTTTAGCTCAGATTGCTCAAATTTATATAAAGTTTAAAATATTTGAGATGTCCAAGTTACAGTTAAAAACTAAATATTGAGTTTTATTGACAATATAATAGGAAAAGTTTTAGTTGAAGAATTCTCTATTTTCTTATGTTTTTTTAAAGCACTCATTTCAATTAATATTGCATTGTTTTCATTTACTTTGTCTGCACTGTTTACTTGGGGAGCGTTTGCTCGGACTTCTCGTTTTTCCCGTTTATCCCAGTTGTGGTAAGGGTATTGGAAATGGTCCTGGCCGTTGTCCAGGTCCTGCTCCTGGTCCAGAATAGCCGCTGGCACTGGCCGTTGCCGTGCCCACTGTGGAGGCCGGCAAAACTCCAGGAGACGGCGGAGACAGGGGCATTGGTGGTCTAAGTGGCGATCCACCATATCCATATCCATATCCAAATGGACTTGAAGCTGAAGCGGTGTTCTGATCATTTTGGTAGATATAGACATTGCTGTTTCCCTGAGCCTGCTGCTGATTCAGTGGCATGGTGTAGAATCCTCCAGGAGTAGTGTAGTAACCAGGCTGTGGACCAATGGCCGACGGACTGCAGCCGTATACGGGACAATTGTAATAACCAGTTATTGGATAAGCAGAACCTGCAAACAGCGGATCCGGATTATGATAGGCAGTCCAGCGATTGCGCCAGCGACGAAACAAACTGCCCAAAAAGAAGAACGATCGTCCATCGATGGGCTCTGGTCCGGAAGGATCCTCATCCATATCCCTTTCGGTCTCTATAGCCATAGCTCGATTGCTGTTGGCCAGGATTAGCAGAAATACAAACTGGAGCACTGACATTTTCCCAACTGCATCAATTGAAGTCTCTGGTTGAACTACTTTGAATAACTTAAAGTAACTCCCAGCTCAGGGAGTCGACTGAAGATAGGCTGCCTAATGGGCCTTGTAATAAGCATTCGAGTGCTGTAACTTCGTCAAAGCCAACAAACCGTGAAAATTTATTAATATTATTATATGCTTTCAAGGCTGCCCCTGTTACCTACAGAACTCTCTTCAAGTAAAATTTGTATATTTCTGTTAATTTCAATTGCAGTATCTTAAAACTTTAAATGGGCATATCAATAAATCATGTATGATTAGGCAACATTCCAGACAATTAAAGGCGAGAAAACAAATAAATTTTATCGAATAAATGGTTTTTCTTGAATGAATATTGAATCTTTTTCATCAAACGATAAAATTGGGACAAAAAAAAAACTAAATTAATCTGATTTTAACGCACTATTACAATCGAATGAGCCGTACGCTGCGAAAAAGACAGCTTCGCTAAACATCGGGGATGTAGCTCAGATGGTAGAGCGCTCGCTTAGCATGTGAGAGGTACGGGGATCGATGCCCCGCATCTCCAGCAGGATATATTTTTTTATATCAATAGGATTCTTTGATTTTCTTTAAGTAATCACATAGCTGAATTATTAAAATAAATTTACTTGACAATAAGTTAATTTAATAGGTTTTATAAGTATGCACCTGCAACACGACTTCTTTTGTATTTAAAAATTCACATAACTGAATCTTAAGACTAACTTAACTTTATTGTAATAAAAACAATATATACAAGTTTTATAATACTGCGTTTTTAAGGGTTTTACCATTTCTAGTAAAAACTCTCGAATTTTGGTTTTTAACCAACCCGCACGTGCCAGCAATTTTTCATTATTAAACGTAAAGAAAAACTTGAAGTTTTTGACTCTCGCTGCTTGATTTTATTTTGCCACATTACATGCTTTTGTGAGGGCACAAAAAACGTTTTGAGTTATGAGTTCTGCGTGCCAGGTGTACTAAAAGTCAAAGAAATTGCAGAATATGCGACACTCAAATACCTTGGAAAACACTGCCGCCAAAGAATTCAGCAAACACAAAATCAGGAAAGAACACAAAAGGCTGAACAAAATCCGCATACCCAGCGATTACCTGGAGGCCTGTGAATTAAGTGTGCAAAAAACAGGTGACAACAATCAGTAAGAGGTGAAAGGAAGAGGCGCCCGTCCGTGTCTGGAAAAACAAAAACAAGAACCCACAAGGGCTGTGAAAATTCGCGCGCCCGTGAAAATTTCGCACGTTTTTATGGACCATGAACTTCATGCACCCCAACCAGCAGTCCTTCCAAAATTTGAGTAATGGCCACATAGATTAGCTAGCGACCATTTGATTTCTCCAACCCAAAGTTCATTTAATTAAAAAAATACGCAAAGTCAACAGAAAAACTACAAACGAAATTAGAGCCAGAGAAACTTTCCATAAACTTTGTTGCCATCGAAACAATAAAAACCGCAATCCTCGGCCGGACTTTGCCTTTGTTATCGAAGCTTGAAGCGGACAATGGAGTGTCCTTTTTTACGACAAAGCCAAATCCGGCGGAACCACATAAATTATGTTAATGCTTAAGCTATGTACACGCCCACTATGTGCGACTCTGGCTGGACTGTCCGTCCGGGATAATCAGAAAAATACACAGCACACATCGGTTGGACGAGGGACATTTGCTTAGTGGTTTTGTGCGATAGTTTCGGTGCTGTCCATTGAGAAAATTGCTGACAATTGCTAAAAACCTCGGGTGACGATGGGGTCTGGATCAGCATTTTTGGGGTGGGCGTTCGAGCATTGCAAATGATATATGTTTGAACACATGTTGGGGGCTGGAATTGAGCTTATTCGGTTTGAGGGCAAGTCTGGGTAAATATTGGGGGATATTTGTCGAGATTGCCAAACTTTGAGATCATCAAATCAGGCCATCCAACCAACTTTTGTATCCGATAAGTGAAATCCAACTGCAGACGAACAGATATTAATTCTCGGGAGGAAATTAGAAAAGGACATTGCTGTATCCGACTAACAAACAAAAAGGACGCTGGGAATTAAATTCATAAAAATGATATAGCATTGTTCAGCTTGTCAGAAGTTTGTTTTCGCTGCATTGTTACATAATTATATGCCACGGAGTTATCGTTGGGCTTGAGTGCGTTTGGGTATAAAAAAGCAAGATAAGCCAGAGGCGAGTGCATGTAAATAAATTGAAACAAATAAGCTGCTGGCTGCCGGCTAATTGCAGGCAGCCCCTTTTATCGCGGAGAGCGAGTGAAATTGAAAAGCCGTTCGTTTCATTTGCAAGGCAAATATGCGCCGGCCCCGGATCTCCGTAACTTTTTTTTCACCTTGCGGTGGACAACATCGCAACATGCTGTCGAACATTTCCGCCGGTCTGTTTCCGTTATGCAACGCCGCTGCAAGGACAACAACAGGTGGATGTCATGGAGGATGTGCTGTGGGTGGTGAATCCGTGGCCAGTGTTTACGCAAGCAAAACTTTTTGTCAGCTGTCATCGGGGCAGACGTACAAAAGAAAAACGAGAGTTTTTCCTTTATTCCGGTTCCAACAAGTCGCAGGCTCGAAGACTGACAGCTGCAATGCATTGCACTGCATGTGCGGGATGGAAAAAAGAAGGGGAAAAAATAAATAATCCACACAATTCGTGCTTGAAGGCCCCGGCGAGATTCGAACTCACGATCTCCTGTTTACTAGACAGGCGCTTTAACCAACTAAGCCACGGCGCCACTTGCGGTAAACCGGAAAATTTCGAAACTTAACTAGTGCAAATTTTTCTAGTTCTCATGGGTCACCAAAAATAGTAAAAAGGCAAATATTGATTTTTTAATTAAAACGAAAGTAATAAATTAAGATCACATAAATAGATCAAAAAATTGAAAAGTAACACAATCACAATGTGTAGGCCCCGGCGAGATTCGAACTCACGATCTCCTGTTTACTAGACAGGCGCTTTAACCAACTAAGCCACGGCGCCATATGATTTTCGAGAGACCAATAAGCTTTAATTGCTTCGCCTAATTTAAATTTAAATTTAAATTGATATTAATATGTATCAAACAGAAATATATGGAATTTTTCAGAATATAGCAATTCTTAAAGGAATGCTTATATATAACTTTTTAAAACTATAAAATGGTCTATTCAAAAAAACCCAATATGTTTGGCTCTTTTAGTTAAGGACCAATGGCAGATGTTATATACAAGTACACAAATCTTTAGAATATGTACAAATAATATACATATATAAGTATTTGACAAACTTACCTTTTAATGCTTATTTTGCTTTGTGGGTAAATCTCGATATTAAAAACGGTAAAGTATATCAACATACATATATGCAATTGGGAGTCCCCGCGGATTTCACAATTGCTTAAGGGGAAAAACAAATGCTTATAGCCGTTTATCATGGGCTGATTAACAGGCTGAGAAGAGAAAATTGTAGGGGAATGTACCAAAGATGCGTGGGGTTCTTTTGTGACAAAAGGCATGAGACTATAAAAGCTGCTAGCGTGCATTTTTAATCATTCAAAACACATTTCACTGTCCAAGTATAAAGTCAAAAGAATTCAAATAATTAAGTAAAATGGATTGCCAGGCGACAGGAAACCCAAAGACCGGACAGGCAAATGCCCAATGTGGAGTAATGGTGGGTGACGATCTGGCCAATGCTCGGGCCGGAGTTTTCGCCTCTACTCCAGGCACCGGTGGACCCGTCACCAAGGGAGTTTATGGAGCGCTGAACGCGTAAGTCAACTCTTTACTTAAATGGAAAAAAATTCCCTCATTTATTAATAGTTAAATAAAAAAAAAAAATCCATTAAAATAACCAAAAAAGACAGAAAATCGTATAGTTTATAGTTGCGAAAGTGCCCAGCATTTCAACATCTTTTCTTCCCCTATTACAGTAATGGACATGGACTCTCGGTACAGCATGGACACATTGAGGGAGTGGGCAGTACCACGACCGCCGCAGCCCAGGCGAATCTTCTCCATACCCCGAACACCGCGCTCAACGCCACTGCCTTTCACAGCCACAGCCGATCTCACGATCAGTTCGGAGGCGGACTCAATCTCCAGACGGCGGCGGGTCACCAGGCGGCAATTGGGGTCACCCGAGTGCCGCAGTTCGATATGACTACAGTCCAGGGTTCAGGGAGGGCCAATCTGTACTCCTCACCCAGTGGCAATCTCAATGTCAATGCCACTGGTAGTGCCAATCGCCACTTGAGCGGACCACATCGTGGCAGGACCGATTTCGGCACCGGACTCAACTTGCGCTACGATTTCTGATTTTTTTAAGTCTTGGTACTTTTTATTTTCGAACAATTAAATAACAATAAACAAAAAATAAAACTATACAAAATTATTATTTTTTATTGTAAGAAAGATCCGATACAAATATAATTATTCAATTTCAAGAATCTTGATTTCATCCTATATCCGAAAGGGAAGAACGGCCAAGGCATGGATGCTGAAACTCGGTATGAACCTTATTATCAATATTGAATTTAAATTCTTCTATATGTGTATTTAAAATAAAAACATAATAGCTTTAACGAAAATTATTAAGCGCCCAAACCGCTCATCGATTTCCCATAATTCATCAAGCGAAATTCGCACAATAACCAAACCATTCATGGGAAATCCTTTGGAGTTCGGAAACACATACACAGATGAACGTAGCCATGAGAAACCAATTTTTGACTAGTCAGCTTTTCCAGTTTTTTTCTCAACATGCAGGCAGCGCAACCGTTAAGTGCCATAAAAATAATTCAAAATAAATTGCTTTACATAAAAATTTGGTTTCGGCAAAGACGCGCAACTGTTTTATAAGGTGTATAATTTGGCCATAATAATGCGCATCATGGCAGCACCCATCGCGGGGTTGGTTATTAATTCTCGGTCGACGCGTCGCCGAGGCCGAGACATAAATAACGCTTTTTATGCGTGAATATACTCGTACTTTGCATTTTTCGCAGACACGGCGGAGTCCTAGTTAAGCCGTAAAAATTACACCAGCCAGTCAAGAAGCCCTGACTTTGACTTTCTGGAAGGGCCAACGCAAGTCATGTCAGCTGGCCTAATCCCCAGGTAGATATCCGCCTTGATTGGCCGCAATGAAAGATGCCAAGTCAATATTTTTGATACACCCTTGGGAGCCTTTGTGGGGATGGAGGTATTGCTGAGTGGGATAAACGCTGACTTGTAATGTCATGTAATTAGGGTAATAATCGGCTTGCCACTCGAGGCCTTATCCCGCAGCCCAAAACGACTTTGTTATGCAAATGCCAAAGCAAACCGTGAATATCCTGCGGCTTACGCATTACTCAAGGTTACAAAAATTATATTTTCCGGCTCTAGAGTCATCTTTAAATCTTATTCTTTTAAGATTCCAATGGACCGCTTTATTTCACCTCGCCCTCTGCAACACTGGAAAATCAATAAAGGGTCTTCGTTGACAACCGTTTCCAGGCAGCCAAAATGCCGGACTAATAAACATTATTTATCTGCAAACTGTATTACTATCTGCAGACTGCATATTTCGACAAACTACATTTATTCAAATGGATTTCACGTACTGTGAGTTCCCCAGCACCGTTTCCATTGACACCTTCAAGGCCTATTTCAATCTCACCGATGTCAAGTTGCCCAAAGTCGGCGGTAAATCATTGGACACCATCCAGATCCCCAGCGAAGTCCTGGAGGGCCAGGCAAATCAAGCGAAAAGTCTGCGACATCTTGTGCTCGATGCCATCGTTGAGAATTGGAGTGGTAAGCAAACGACTTTAAAGTGGCTAATTCCAGTAATAAATTATTATTTTATACTAATTAAACAATAAAGAAGAAAAAATTAATTTGTTTTCATGACATTTAAAACGTTTAATAACTTGAAATCGCAATTAATATTGAACAGAAATGTTATTTTGTTTGATAAGTATTAAATATTTGAGTTTATAATATTATCATCACTTAAAAAATATTTTATTGCCCCTTTAAAAATATGTTCAATACTTTCTCTGCAATTATTTTTAAACAAAATTTTATAGAAAGGGTATTTATTTGGTAAATTGCGAAATTAGCCAAATCGACAGTTTTTTTGCGAAATTGAAAAGATGCAGACATTGCTCATCCGCAGAGTTGCCGCTGTACCGACAACTGAGACGGCGCGAGGACCGCAACTACCTCCTTAGCCACCTGGACACGCAGCTGCCGCTGCAGCTGCTCAGCACCCACATTCGCGAGGACTTCTTCTGGCAGCGCTGCTACGGCCAGCGCTGGAGGAGCGCCCCACTTCAGGCGCGGGGCAGGGAGCGGCCCTGGATCAACATCTACATGGAGCGACATGTGCAGGAGTTTATTGAAAGCTTGCCGACGGGCGACTACGAGCAGGAGGGCAACGTGCAGATCGTCCTGGACATCTGTGCGGCGTACATAAATCAGTTGGAGATAAGTTTCCTTCAGCCCGCCCCGTCCACAACCGACGCGAATGGTGAGTAGGGTGTCAGGACTTGGGAATACCCTGGGACTACCTAAAGATTGCGTTCTACACGATACCTTGGCATTGCTCTTTTGTGTTTATTAAAACCACAGTAAAAGTATTCATTTTGAGAACAGTAATGTAATGTATTTCTATATAAAGGAATGAGGGTATAACTTCTTCGTCCTTTTACACGTATTCTGCAGATCACATTCCGCTTGATTACCTGCTGAGCAATCTGCCGGATTTACGCCAACTGCGACTGAGTTACAGCACCAAGACGGTCGGCTGCAATTACCAAATGGGCTGCAACCAACTGACTGTCAGGGATATTCTGCATTTGACCAAGGGACTGAGCCAGTGTCACGAGTTGCGGAAGTTCTGGTGAGGACTGACTGCTTCAACGAGTCCCTGTTGACTTCTGCAAATCATTTGCTTTTCAGCCTGCACAACACGAAACTGATGCCGTATCAGCTGCGATTTCTGGCCCACAGCCTGGACAAGGGTTGTCACCACCTGACCGAGATGTCCTTGCTGCACTGTGCGGTGGGCGATGCCGGAATCCGCTGCTTCTTGGAGACCTGCGGCAGGGAGTCCTTCGGCACTCTCACCGTCCTTGATTTGACAAATAACAAGATCAGTAGGTGTCTTTAGTTATTTCATAGATAATTAGAAAAATATCCCTCTTGATTAGAAAATATATTTTAAGCAAACTTTCTATTTTCCAGCTGAAGAAGGAGCCTACATTCTTAGTCGCACCTTAAGGCATGTTCCCCTTAACCAACTTGTGCTGCGTTTAAATCCCATCCAAAGTGACGGAGCTGCCGCGATTTTCAACACCCTTCAGGTCATGCCCATCAAGGAGCTGGACCTGGGAACTTGTGGTATTTCGGAGACCATAACAAAGCTGTTCATGATGCTGATTTGCCAGCATACCACACTGTTGGACATTGATTTATCGAATAACTCTTTGGGAGAGGTAGGCTAACCGAAATCTTTCACTCATCTCACATTAACTCAATTTATGTTAGGACTTTGGAAAACACCTACTGAAGATCATTAGCTGCAATAAAGTTCTCGAAAAGTTGGACCTTCGAAATACCGGTCTATCTTTGGACATGCGTCGAAAATTTCAAGAATTTCTGATCAAAAATGTGGATCGAAAAAAGCATGAGGCCCTGAAGCAAAAGCAACGCGATAAGTTTAAGGCCATGATGCAGCTATAAATATATTTAAATGATATTTATAGTTAACTTATTCATTATGAGGAGCAGAGAAAAATACATTTAGAAAGTCAAAATTCGCCAGTAAAATTGCAAAATAAAAAGACAACTACTCTTTGTATTAACTTTTTAAACTATGAACTTTTTTAATAGGTAATAAATTCTTAACGAAAGGTGAATTTTGCAACACATATAGATTTTTAAAAAACATTGAAAGCATAAAAAGTAAATTACAAAATTGGGAAAACATAATTTATTAGAAACAGTAAATTCAAAAAAGTATTCACTGTTTCCGCCCGGGATTGAACCGGGGGCCTTCCGCGTGTTAGGCGGATGTGATAACCACTACACCACGGAAACTCAGATGAATCTATTTTCCTCCTAAGACAATTTAAGTTAAGATATTTTTTATATATTAAGATTATAAATAAGATAAATGATAAAAAACTGATATTTTTAGAAATGTTTAAGTTCAGGGAATAAAATAAAAAGTATTCATTGTTTTTTTCTCCTTCTTTCTTCACCAAGGGGTTGCAACAACTTAAGCAGCAAACCGTGAAGCAACCTCGAAGCTTTCAAGCCAACTTTCATTAACCCTCGACCTTGTTGACTTAAGTCAACAAAAACAATGCTAACCCCATCAAGATTGCCGAGGACCCAACTCCCTGACCTCATCTGTCCCCTCCTAATGGCCTGGCCCAACAACAACAGCCAACTAAGTGGAAACACTTGAAAATGAGTTGGAAAAAAGGTAGAAAGTTGTTGAAAAAATAAATAAAAAGAAAATTCAGTTTGTTGCTATTTTAGTAGGTGTTTTTGTTGTTTGGCTTGCTCTCATTTTTGTAGGGCTAGTTTGTTGTTGTTTGTCTTTGTTGCTCTTCTTGGCACGCAAAGTGTAGAAATTGTTTGTGCTTTTGTTAATGGCATTTTAAGTGCGGTTGGTTTAAGGACACAGTAGTACGGTAAGGGGTTAAGGGTTCTCTAAAAGTATTTGCCATTAATTGGATTAATTTCCATAAGCCTTCAGGTCAAAGGTGACAGCTTTTTTTAAATGTGCTTCTACAAAATTGCTTCCCATTCTTGCCAGTCTTTAAAAACCTTATTTTATTAATCACATATCTAAAAGAATGTTGCTCGAAATATACAGACATTTCCCATTCGTCTGCACCTTTATTATCTATATTCGGGCTTGCTTATATTGTTGTTGCTATTTTTCAATTAAAATCAAATTGTATTTTTGTCTGGTGCAACTTTTTACTCATTTTGTGCTTATTCTTTTCCTCATTTTGTTTATTTAGGACCTTGTTTTGTTTATCTGCGCAAGTAAAAAAGCAACACTGAAGAAGAATACAAACTCTGCGGCAGGATACACATCACTCCATTTAGTACATACATACATATATGATAATTGTGTTTTAAAGTTTGATATGTGGACAAAGTTTTTTGGCTAAAATGTCCAGGCCCTGAACCTCGTCTGCTGTTTCGCCACCATATTTAGCAGCTCATAAATCTTCAATGGATTCAGACTTGTGATTTATAACGAGCCAGAAACTTGAACCAGCAAAACAATAAAAAAAAATATATAATAGAAAGGAAAGTGCCAAAAAAAGTGGGGTGGTGCAAAAAAGCTTTAAAGTAGAAAAATATTACGAAAACC